CTGGAGGTGCTGCCATGTTCACTTTGGACAGGAAAATGAAAGTTAACATAAAATCATAGGCAGTTGATTTTTGCAGCATTGAATACAGACAAACTGGCCAATACACCATGCAATTTATAGCTTCCTAGCTCATTTTTTTCTGGGTAAGGCTCAATATTTATCAGCACCCCCTCTTATCACCTTCCATGTAATATTTCTTCAAATATTTGAAGATGAATAAAACTTCTTGAACTTCATTATTTTTATTTACTGCAATATCGTGGAACAACTGTGTTCTGGGATAGTTTATCAGACATGAAAGTACAAACTGACACTATCAGAGACAAAATTGAGTTTTGGAAGGATCTGGAACAATCCAGAGGTATTTTGCATTCATATTCTATAAGATTTACAAGTAAACATTCACAGACCACCACTGGCCCTTAATGCACTACAAATCACACCCTGTTTCAAGTCAGGGCTTGAGGTTATACAGTATCTCATCTGTCCATGTTCTATATTCCTGGAACGCTGAAAGACAACTAATCTATCCTGACTTTAAAAAAAAGGGATACAGTACTTTAAAAACCTCAACACTATGAGAAACAGAACAGATAGATGTGACACATCTCCTAGTCACAAAACTAGGAAGCATTAATGCATTTGCTACCACAACATGATTACATATACTTTAAATCATCTGTCTCCTTCATTATGTTTATATTCTGCCTTTCTTTGAAGCACTACAGAGCAGCACAGGCAGTTCCCTTATTTTAATATTCCAACAATCCTGTTAGACTGAGAGTACACATCTGACCCAATGGGCAACATCCTGATGCATAAAAGTTAGGCCAGTGTAAACCAGATCTGTTGCTGGGATTAATCCCTTTAAACTAATTGAAAGCTTCCTATTCAACTCTCCCCCCTCCCCCCTTACTCTTTTCAGGTTCTCAGGTTTACTAGGGAACCTCTAGAAGCCTTGGGATTGGGAGACTGTTTTTAACAGCAAAAACTCGCCACTGCTAGCGTGAGGACCCCCGGGGGCGAGTTTTGACTCCGAGGCTGCTGCCCCCCCCCCATCCTAAAGCTCCCAAAGGCTTCCCCGGGACAAGAAGGGAGCCCTAGGAAGCCTTGGAACCTGAAAGGGAGGTCGCGTAGGAAGCTTTCAATGCGTTTGTTTTATTTCCGGTGCCAAATCTGGCTTATGCCAGAAGTCTTCCCGAAGTCACATCCTAATAAATACGGAGAGTTTCGATTCCGGACATTGTTTATTGGTCAAAAGCGGCTGCCTCCGCGTCCGGAGAAGAGCAGCTTCCGGTGTCACAGCACCCATCCTGGCTCGCCCTGAAGCTCCGGGAAGGAGCCAGCCAGGAGCCGTTGCAGCCGCGGCTCCCTTACCCCGGCGTCGGCGGCCAAGGACCAACCCTGGCTTCCCGCGCGAACCTCCTCCAGGGACCAGGCTCTCTCCCAGAGGAGCAACGCCGCCGCCGCCGCTGCCGCCGCCGCCGCGGCTTCCTCCACTCCGGACGGCGCCTCCGCGTCCGACCCCGACGACGACGCGGCAGAAGACATGGCCTGCCGAGGGAGGAAGAGGAGCAGGAGCCCGAGGCAGAAGAAGGACCGGGGCCGCTCGGCGCCCAGCGCCACCCCCGGGAGAGCCCTGCCTTGGCCCCGCGGTGACAGCCCCTGGCCAAGCGGTTCCGGCACAGACGGTCAGCTGACTCCTCTCGCCCAGGAGTCGCGTGACCGTCGGGCGCGGCGGCTGCAGCGGGAGTAGAGATACGAAAAGTAGAAGGGTGCTTTGCTTCCTTTGCTGCGAGATCGTTCTGAGAGGCTATGAGAGCGAGGCGAAAGGACTGTGTACAGTACACTCTTCCTCCATGAAGATGGAGAAATGGGTCGCGTCGGCGTCTAGGGCGGGGAGGGCTTGTGTTGCCTGAAAGTGTCTCCTACTCAAAAGGCGTGCGGGAAGGAAACCTAACGTAACCCCCAAAAGTGGGAAGGTGCATTTTGGTCTTGCCTTGCTAGCGGGTCTACAAAATTCTATGGCTGCGACACATACTATATAGCATATTTACTACAAGGATGGGGCACTTAACAATCTGCATTCCAGCCTTAAGCACACATTACAGGGCACTGCAACAGAGTTTGACTGGAGGGGAGGAGGTAAATTGATCTGCTGTGAATTTGCATCTTGGCCATAGGGTTTTCCCCAACGAAATTGGTTTAGCTGACTGGAAAGAGATTCAACAGAGAGAGAGGAAGAAATTAGCAGTCAGCCTTTGTTTACAGCAAGTTAAGATTGCTATAGCTGTGCAGATTTTCTGGAGGCACAGCTATGGCAGAAGCTGCCTTAACAAGCTGGAAACAATGGTTATTTGCCATCATTAATTTTTGTGTCCTAGGTAGTTTGGCATGAAACCTTTTTTTTTAAATGTCTTCTCCCTGCTTTCCAGAGCAAGGCTTTCTTTACTGAAAAGGGGAAAAATCAGGATTGCATTAACGCAAGAACCCCTTCAAAACACTGCAAAGTTAAACCCTCTATTTATTTGTTTTTAAAATAGGGACAGATAGGTATGGGATAGAAATCGGAGACAGCCTGGGAACATTCAGCATTTGTGAAAGCCAGAATGTTGAACTGGAGCAAAGGAGTGCTTGAGGAAGAAAACGTACATCGCTGTGATTGGTTCTTTGCTTCCACTCTGCCAACCATCAGCATACGCTTTTCCGCAGCAACATAAAGCATTCACATATCCTGGGAAAAGTGAATGCATCCACGTGCAAAATAAAGTAGAAGTTTCAGTGGTGGAGGGAAAAGCTATTGTTTGGGGAGGAGGATTGACTCCAGGCTGATTCACATTGACCTGTGTAGTCAATGGAAAATAATACGGATCTGACCATCCCAATCCTGTTTTCTTGGCAAAGATACTGGAGTGGCTTGCCAGTTCCTGTTCCAGGTGGATCGCTTTTTGTCAGACCTGTCCGTCTTGGGTATTCCTGCATGGCATAGCCCATAGCTTCTCTGAATTACTCAAGCCTCTTCGCCACGACAAGGGAGCAATCCATGAAGGGGCATTGGAAACTTACAACCATTAAAATAATTCAAAATAAACTTGCCCAGTTACTTCTGGCATTTCCCCACCCCAAACCTCCACCCTTACAGCTCTGAGCTTGGTAAAGTGTGTACCCAGCTCAAGGGGGTGGGGGAATAATGTGTAGCATGCATAATTAAATTGTAAAACACACAGAAAGTGCTATGGGTGGTATATAAGCAGCACATTTTGCTTCAATTACTTTAGCTTAAAAAGCAATCAGTAACTATTTTCACCATTGGGTAAAAATTCTATTCTGTACCCCTTCAAACCTTTTAGCATTATCACACAGGGGGACTAAATTTGTCTCTTGGAAATCTTTTGTATGGAATCTTATTGCTAAACTTCTTTTTTTGGAAATGCATGTGACAAGTGCCTCAGTGTCATTGCAGCAACATTCTACTGTGCTAAAAAGATAGGATTTCAACCACACAATTACCATTTTATTAATGGACTAGACTCTGGATAACAGGGTTTGAATCTCTGCTCAGCCATGGAAACTCACTAGGGGAATGGAACTGATAAAACCATTACTTAGATGTCTCACTTACCTTGAAAACCCTATTACGATCACTATAAGTTGGTTCTGACATGACAGCACGTAACTATTACCATAGTTAAGTATTGGCTCTAAATGAAACTTGGTCTCCTTTACTTGTATTGTTTCAAATCCATACACTCAAATAAGCAATGAAAATGCGCTTGATATTCTGCTTTCTACGTACTCCTCGTAGTTTCTAACTAAGACCATAGTGTATAAAATATAATCTACCTTGAAAAAAGGCAATGACGTTTGGAAGCAAATCCTATATGTTGCTTTCAGTAACACTCTGTCCCTTTCTATTTACAGCCAAACCAAAACTCTATCTCCCTTTCTTGTTTTCATTCAAACATTAAATTTTCAGGTAATGAAACACAATGTGCTTCGTCCACATCTCATTGGTTTTAAATACAGTACCGTGTTTCCCCGAAAATAAGACGGTCTTATATTAATTTTGTTTCAAAAATGCATTCAGGGGATTTTTTCCAAAGTGCAACAACCTACATTTATTCAAATAGAGTCATGTCATATTCTGGTTGCTACACAATGGTGGAGGGCGGGGTTACACTTAACAGGGTAAGTATTTGTAAATTCTGGGTGCACTTAGATGGCTCAGTTATCCTAACCTGGATCCGTGTACCCTGTTTTCCCTAAAATAAGACCTAACCTAAAAAAGCCCTACCATGATTTTTCAGGATGCTCGTAATATAAGCCCTACCTCAAAAATAAGCCCCAGTTAAGTGAAACCCTGCCCTCCACCCTTGTGCAGCAACCAGAAGAAGATGACATGACTGTATTTGAATAAATGTGGATTGTTGTACATGAAAAAAATAAAACATCCCCTCAAAATAATCCATAGTGCGTTTTTGGAACAAAAATTAATATAAGACCCTATCTTATTTTTGGGAAAACACGGTAGTACATGTTAAAAACGGTCACTTTGAGGTGCAGTATGTCGTTTGAGGTGCAGGGATCAACTGCACCAAACCTCAAGACTGATCTTTCCCTTTCAAGGGAATTAAAAAGAAATGGAATACTTCCTTTCCCTTTCTCACTGTAGGCAGGTGGCCAGGAAACTTCCCATTTCTTGTTAAACAGCTTCAGCAAAGGGATAACTAGGTAGCCACTTTGTTTTGATCCCAGCAATTACACAAATTAGAACTGCACCAAAATGGAATGATCTTACCCACAACAACAACAACAACAACAACAACAACAATAACAACAACAACAACAAGTAGCCTCTGGTAGGGGCTCAAAAAGATGCAGTTAGGCATTGTTCAGGGTCAGGATAGATCATGATGGCATGTATTGTTAGGAGGGCAGGATGGAGTTCTGATGTAACACACACTACAAATGATCTGTGCACTGAATATGATAGAATGCAGCATATTTCCCAAGAAATTATAAGACTACACCTATACTTTTGCATCTGTACTTTGTATCTGTACCTTGCTGATTTCTTCCTGAATGAATGTATTCTTTTACTGTACATATGTTGTAGCAACTGTATCCTATAGGCACTCTCTATTTTAATGCTTTATTTCAATGAACCGTGTATCCTTGTATCTCTATTTTTCAATGTATCCACACTTTATTTCAATGTATCAGTCCTCTCTTGATACTCCTGACCTCTGTAACAGCCAAGCAATTTCCCACACTACATTCCTGCATATCAAAGTATACTAGCTACAATGACCTCTCAGACCCAAGCAAGAGGAAGATATCACACCACAATGAGATAGCAGTTTCGTTTCATTTACATAAACAAGGTATCGTTTCTTCACTCAAGGAACACAGCAATTTAGGAGACAAACGGGCACAGATGGCCACATTGGAATTTGGGGGAGGAAGTGAGCCATTTATATTTTGACACCACTAGGAGAATTACTGTTTCTGAAGGCCATACATTGAGGCCCAGGAACTGCAACATAAACATATCAATGAGATAAGGAGAACCAAGAAACATCCTCTACAGACATGCAGGCACATTTGAGGTATAACATGATCCTGGGTCAAGGGAACATGGGGGGCACAGTATGGATATTCAGGTATAGCCAATAAGCTATGCCTACGGAACATCTTTGGCCCAATGGGAAAGGGGATCCAAGGTTGAGGTCCAAAGAACCAATGAGAATCTTCCAATTTATGGCTCCTTGTGTAGAAACCTTATAAAATATCTATGCACCCTTTGCTTGAGGCCTTTTTCTGCTTTTAAGACAAAAGGCCCAGCTGTACTTTTCTAAAATAAAATTGGCTTTGTATCAGCTGCTTGTGCATCTTAGTCTGTTGTCCTTGCCGGAGTTCCGAACGTAGAATTCAGGGCTAACAGTATGTCACACGTTTGTCAGGAAATGGAACAAACCAGCCCATACCAAACCCGGACCAAACTGCAGGACAAATTACTGTCTGATTGCACTAAAGAGCTGTGTTGATTTAACATGGATGTTTGCAGGACAAGCAAATCCAAATGAAATTTAATAAACTTTCACATCCTTAAAAGAAATAATGGGTTTGTAGAGGGGATTAGTTCATTGCTCTGCAGTGACCTAGGTTACTTTTCTAGTTACAACAACCCATTTTCAAGGTTACCTCTTATACATAGCCCTTTTATGCATTTCATACAATATTTAAAACTTTGACATATACACCATAAGCCAAATGAGTGTGGGGATGTTTCACTTTTAGACTGTTGTTCAGTAGTCAGTCTAGCAATCATGACACCATAGTAAGATAAAAAAATGTTCTTTATTTCAGTAAATGCATTCTGGATACAACACAGTAAAAACCTGGACTTTAGAGCCACTTTCTTTTTGTGCAAATGTACTGCAATGCATCATGAAGTGGGGAATGTCCTCACAGTGTACCCTAAAATGCATCAGAAGAAAAGAGATAAGAAAGAATAACCATCTTGAAATAGGAGAAGCTTGATTAATAGATACAGTATAGAAGGGAAAACAGTCACAGAACTCTGATAACAGTGAATGTGCATAAATGGACCTTTTATTTGCTAGTAATGATATAACAAAACTTTTTTTTTCACCTCTTTCATAGTCATTCCACTCTTTTTGTTGGCAAAGGGGGGAGAAAAAACTTCAGTTATG